AGAAACTCATTGATATGAACCAAGAATTTTGCTTACATCGTTTTACTAGTATAGTGACTAGTCCCCTACGCAAACAATGTGAATCAAAAGGAGGGAAACAATCACAGATAATTCTGAAGACATATTTGTCCATAATCTTCTTAAAGTTGAAGTACTAATATTTTGTAGAGAAGCAAATAGCTAACAGACCAAGCTAACTTACCTACTAGAATCTTGGGGACTGAGAGAAGCTATCTAACTTGCGAACTATGCCCACTGGAAGACGGCACCATAGACTTCTCGGCAAGGTTCTGACTTGATGCCAGGAAACAATCAGAAGGTATAAAACGATTGACTCTTTGTAAGTTTCGGTCTCTAGATCAATGCTTTCATTGCTTAGGCATTTCTAACAATTGCGAAGACCTGATTAATTAGCTATATAACATTTTGGGTTATCTATATAAAATACTTAGTTCACTTAACTATTTACAAGCTAAACAATGATACTACTGCGAGATATAAGAGAAGAGAAGTGGCTTATATGACGCCTAATGGGCATAACAAGATATAACTAATTAAAGGTGTGAGGTATGTTAAGAATGTGGACCTTGCGCCTAATTCAACCTCAAATATTAACTCATGAAATGAAGATTGCCAAAGACCGTATAAAGAGACTACCTAAGTTGCTCGGACTCGGGTGCGGGCATCCGATACGGACACGGATCCGAGTGTCGGATTCGGCAAAATCTAAATTTTAAGATTCGGGGGTGCGGATCCAGTTATGGATAAAAGTGTGGGGATTCGGCTAAAAAAATTCAAAATTATAAAAAATAGAGCTATAAGTAGGAACTTAGAACACGACCCCTTGAATTCTTGGTTTTTCTAGAACACAAAGCAGCAAATATGAGACAAAAGTACTACAATATTGAAGGTATGCCATTTCGCATGTCTTAAATATGTTTTATTTTTAATTTTGAGAAATCAAAATTCCAATTTCCCCCCAAATTTGTCGATGGACTAAGGTCAAAGTATCCGAAGTTAGTTGACCGAATCCGGGACGTATCCCAGTCCCGTCCCGTGTCGAGACGGGTGCGGCACCAAAAATGAAGAGTCCGCGCAACTTAGGAGACTATAGTTCACTCCCTCAACCAATGTGGCAATTCTAACCTAAGTTGCTCGGACACGGGTGCAGGTGTCCGACACGGGTGCGGATCTAGAGGTCGGATCCTTCGAGATGTAAATTCTAAGATTCGGGGATACAGATCTTAATACGGATACGGGTGCGGGGATCCGGCTAAAAATAATTCAAAAATTATAAAAATACCTCTAAATTATGAAAATATTTGTGGAATACTTACGTATGGCTTGTAAAGTGTGAATTTCTTTTTTATTCTCAAGTTGTAGATAAGTAAATGATTGATTTCCTAGTTAAGGTATGCAATGTTCTTCAAATTTACTCTAGTTTTGGTTCTGATTTCGGGAATCAAATTGTATGTCGTCTCGAATTTTTCTGTACGTCGTGGTCAAACTACCCAAAATTGTTTGACCAGATCCGGTACGGATCCCATACCCACATCCATACTAGTGTCGTGTCGACACGGGTGCGGTACCTAAACTGCAATATCGGAGCAACTTAGATTCTAATAACCCTCTGTCCACCCACAACTAGACATCTGGACACATGGATTTAGCATAACATGGGGGCCCAACATTAGGTAACAGAACAACAGGTCCGGCTCTAGCTTTGATATGATTTTAAGAAAGTACCTTGGGCCCAACTCAACCTCGACATCTAACTCATATGGTAAGGGTTGTCCAAAACTATATAAACGACTACATTACATTTCTTCAACCAATGTAGGACAAACTAAGATACAATACATATGTTATATTTGTTCATTGTGAAATAATATAACTGAATAAAGTGACATATTATTTCTCACATTCATCACGCTCCCTCACACTGGACATGGGAAAACCAATTTGAATTTGCTTATTTGAAAAAACAACAAACTAGTGAATAGTCGCAGAGGTAGTAACAAGGCTGCCTCAGCAGTGCCTCTGGAGTAGTGAATCGTCAAAATCACTCAAAATTGTATCATCAATGTTAATAGCATTTACCAGCTTCTCCACATTGCCCTGGTCTCACGATGTCAATTTGAACAACAGCTTCTCACCGGAATAGTGTTGCTTGGAAAGTGACTAATAGTGGAAAGTAGAATCACGGATAGAAGAGCTACTGAGATGGTCTAGGCAGTATGCCATTGAGACGACCATTAAAATAGGAGCAGTACTGTTGGAACGACAACCGGAGAAGGATACAGTAGTAAACTATGAAAAGAGAATATTTAGGTCAGGCAGGCAGTATGAGGTCCTTGTCCTACGCGGATGCTACTTAGGCCTCTATTAAGATCGACTGATGGAATATAAGACACCATTGGTAGCATTTACATCAGCATTTCCCTAACCAGAAGCAAGCTCGTATGTTATTGAACATAGCATAGAAATGGATCAGAAGACAACCTAGGAAAGGTTTATCAAACATTATCAAAGGATGATTCCAAGACTTATTTACTTAGTAAATGAGTCACGCATTCTCTTTTGCTTCAGTGGTGTCATTTATTTCTATTGATTTGTCACATCATATAGGCCTGAGTATTACCAACCTAAAAAGGTTAAGACTTGTGTTTGACAAGTGAGAAATAATCCTTTAATACCTTACAATCATCACTGCCAGATACAAGCATCGAGGGGTCTGTGCGTGAAAAATCAACACTCCATGCCCGTTTCTCATGCTCTTCATATTCCATCACACTCTGAACACCAGAAAGGGATCAGTATCAGTCATAGGAAGATGAAAAAGTCAACAGTTAATACTGATTATCAGAAGTGCTGATTCACCTGTCTAGTGGTCACATCCCATACAGTTACTATTCCATCATAATCGCTACTTGCTATGTGGTTCTTGGTATACTTATTCCAGCTCAAGCAGCTCAGCTTAGAACGAGTTGACATTTCGACAACAGGGCAATGCACATCTGCAGGTTCATTTACAACCTGAAAAGCAGAAGCATAACAGGCTAGATCAGTAACTAGGAGAAGTAACTTGAGAGAAATATGCAAAAGGAGAGCTCTGCCATAATATTTGTCCACACAAAAAGAAAACACAAATAAAACATACTATCATGGCAAGGAAAAGGTTAACAATATCCTTAAATGGCCAATATGTAGGTTGCGTTATAAGAAGAAGCTAAATAGTACTCAAGGTCATTTATGTAAATATTAAAGGAAACAAAATTAGCTGCAACAGTCAGGTGTTGTTCTCCTATCTAAGCACCACTCCAATGTGTTGCAGGAACATATAAGAAATTTAATAGATCCACTATGCACAAACCAGGCGATGTGCTGTCTGCAACCAGGAACTTGTTGCCACCCAAATTTGCAGCAACAAACAAGGAAAATACTATTCCAGAAAGAAGGTGACCTAGAGAAAGACATTTCATTCCCTGTGGAAGGTTCCGTATTGACACACATCCACATACTATTAAGCATTACGTATGCCAGCAAGGTATTGAATGTTCGAGTTGTAAATGAACCAATACTATTTGGAAAAATGCTCAACTCTTAGTCTCTGAGCTTCATTAAACTTTGAGTTAGTACGCTAAGGAGCTAAGCTCCTACAAACTTGAGGTCTGCTCTTTTATATTCATGGACGATTTATTTTTAAATAATTATTTACTTAAATATATCTATATTAGTGCGAAAAAATATTATCACCCGATTTAATTCTAAATCTGCGCATATTATAATATTACTTTTAAAGTGTTATTAATATATACATAATTTGAGCTTGAATTGAGGTTCGAGCTCAAACTCGATGTATCAGCTTGTTTAGTTTGTCACACAAGTTGAGCCAAAGTTCAAGTTTCACAAAAATTTATGCGAGTCGTGCTTGAGCTTGCTTTCACCAACTTGTTTGGGATTGAGGCATACTTGTTGTTGTGCGGGAGCTTGCTTTCAAGCTCATCTGGAATTTGAACCGAAGCACTCATTAATACTGAAGTTGAGTTTGAACAACCAAAAAGCAGGTCGGCTCGGGCTTTTTTTTTTTTCTAATGAATAATCAGAAGGTGAAAAATAATTTCAGAATAAAATAGCTTTTGCACTTACTCATTTGCAAAATAAACAATAGAAGTTGACCCATGATATGTCATTCAGTAATGTCATTGCACCCAATGGAATCAAGAGATAAAACAAGATAAAAGTTAAAAACTCACCGAAGAGAAGTCAAAAACTTTTATACGCCGTGAAACTCCAGCAGTAGCAAACAACTCATCATCACGATCAAATTCAATGCTGCAACAAAAACATCTCCAAGTTTAGTATTTGGAATAAGATTTGCATACCAGAGCCGAACTGATAAGAGAACCAAATAAATGGGATGGCTCATAAGACAATTTCCTGATTCTTTTTCCTTTTGTTGCGTCTCTGATTGTAATTTCAGGTCTGAAAATACAACATTCAAGACACAAAGCAAAATTGGTCCTCCAGCGAAGCCATTTTCCCACTCTGGATAAAATCTATCTGCCACAACCACAACCCTGGTTCTCCTCTTTAATATCTAATATCCATATAAATCTGACACCATGGAAACCAGTAAAAGGAGAACTTTAAGCCTTCAATTATACACAAAGACCAAACTTGCCTTGACACGATATTGGCTGAGTGAAAAAGATCCCCATGCCGAAGCTCAGCAATGACTCTTAACCGACTGTTAAAGATTAAAACTAAAAATTAGTACACAAAAGAAAGAAAAAAAGGTGCAAGAAATTAAAATCAAGCATGTTCAGCGAATAACAGACCATAAATTATACCTATAACGAGTGAAAGTGCTAAGTACAGACTGGAAATCTTCTAGTCCTGCACTGTAACCTTCTCTTTTTATGACATCTACGTCCTTTTCCTCCTTAACATGCGATTTGTTCGCCAATAGACGTCTCTTTTGCAAGTAACATTCTTGGAGATCATTGAACTGTAGTCAAATATGAAAACCATTCACCAACCAATAATATCAAAGACTAGAAAGATAGGCTAGAAAGATTACCCATAACCAACATAGACATTAAGCAGTTCAGATATCTAATTCCTTGATGGAGGAATATGTACTGCTTACATCTCTCCGTGAGAAAGCATGAAAAATCATGGGAAATAGCTTACAAGAAGAATTGTGCATGATAGCTTTCTTCAAAATCAGCAAATGTGAGATCACCATTACTACGGGAATAAGTTGGGTAGCTGAAAAATAGTTAACGAGAACCTCGGATGTGATTAAATCATCTTAGTTTGATCATCACACTGGAAGCTTTCATACAAGAAATGTGTGACAAAAAGGTATCCATAGAATAGACCGTTTTCTCATCAACTTTCCCGGTATGTCATGGGTACAGTAGTGAATCCCACTACTGGATCACTTACAGATATCATTTTATTTCATACCAGCAATAATTATAGGGGTATCAAACTGCTAAGCCATACTACAAAAGTTTGGGAGAGGGTGGTGGGAGTAAGGCTGAGGAGGAGTGTGTCTATTTCCGAGAACCAATTCGGATCCATGCCGGGGTGTTCGACTACGGAAATCATTCACCTTATTAGGAGTATAGGGAGAGGAAGAGGGACTTGCATATGGTATTCATTGACCTAGAAAAAGCATACGATAAAGTCCCAAGGGAGGTCCTATGGAGATGTTTAGAGGCTAGAGGTGTTCCAGTGACTTATACTATGGTGATAAAGGACACATATGATGGAGCTAAGACGCGAGTGAAGACAGTCGGAGGAGACTCGTAACACTTCCTGTTGTGATGGGGTTGCACCAAGAATTAGCCCTTAGCCCATTTTTATTTGCCTTGGCGGACGCATTGACGCGTCACATTCAAGGAGAGGTGTCATGCTGTATGTTGTTTGCAGATGACATTGTATTGATTAACGAGACGCAAGTTGGGTTGAACGCGACATTGGAGGTTTGGTGACAGACCCTGGAGTCTATAAGTTTCAAGTTGAGCAGGAGCAAGACTGAATACTTGGAGTACAAGTTCAGTGATGCGACTCATGAAGCGAATGTGGACTTAAGGCTTGATACACAAATCATCCTCAAGAGAGGAAGTTTAAACTTTCAAGTACCTTGGGTCAGTAATCCAAAATAATAGAGAGATTGAAGGATGTTACTCATCGTATTTGAGCGGAGTGGATGAAGTAGAGGCTCGCATTCGGTATTTTGAGCGATAAGAATGTGTCATAAAAACTTAAAAGTAAGTTTTACAAAGCGGTGGTTAGACTGGCTATGTTTTATGAGGCTGAGTATTGGTCAGTCAAGAACTCTTTTATGTCCAAAAGATGAAGGTAGCAGAAATGAGGATGCTTAGATGAATGTGTGGACATACCAGGTTAGATAAGATTAGGATTGAAGTTATCCGGGACAAGGTGGGCGTGGACCCTATGGAGGACAAGATGCGGGAAGCGAGGAGAGGCATTAATTCCCCAGTGAGAAAGTGTGAGAGGTTTACCTTAGTGGGTTTGAGGAGAGGTAGAGGTAGGACAAAGAAATATTGGGGAGAGGTGATTAGGCAAGACATGGCGCTGCTTTACCTTATCGAGGACATAACCCTCGATATGAAGGTGTGGAGGTCAAGAATAAGGGTAAAAGGTTAGTAGGTAATCGTGTGTTTTCCTTGTCCATACCAGTAGTATTAGTGATAGTCTTGTACTTTTATTTTTCGAGATTTTCTATTAGTACACGTTTCTTTCGTTGTTGCTACTTATTCTTTTTGCATCTTTCCTTGAGCCGAGGGTCTATTGGAAACAGCTTCTCTACCTTCTCAAGGTAGGGGTAAGGTCTGCGTACACACTACACTCCCCAAACCCTACTCGTGGGATTATACTGGGTTTGTTGTTGCTGTATTCTATTTCATACCAAAGAAAATACAGCAAAAAGGTAAATAAATTAAGAAACTTGTAAGTGAGATGAGGTCGCAACCACAAAACCTGTGCATTTACACGCTTCTTCCTCACCACAGCCAGACCTGATTGACTCATATGTTGTGAATTCAATTCACTGATAGAATTATCTTTTCTATGTGGTCCAGGAGAGCTTATTTGAGCTTTGCCTTCCACGTTTTTGTATGTCAAGTTTCCAGTAGGTAATCCTCCAGGTGCATTCCTTGAAGTGGAGAAAAGACCACCAAAGTTCCTATCAGTGGATGAAGACCAAGGTTTTTTCCCAATTGGATCATCTACTAGCATTCGAAGCTTCATTGAGTACCGGTCCCTAGCTCGGTATAGGTCTATTCTATGTCTCTCCACTGAATTTATGTCCTCTTTGATGTATTGCAGATCATTTTGCACCTAATGAAATGCACAAATCAGCAAATTGGCTATTAGTATGTTATTTGGAGAAAGTGAACTGCAGCTATCCAAGACTTTAAAAGGACAACTTAGACACAATGACCCAAGTGAAGAACCACTTGTGTATAAAATATCTCGAATTGATTTAGGGAGAAGAAGCAATGTTAATATGGATAACCAAATAGAATAGGGGAAGTCAGCAAAAGGGACTCAAGTCTCAACTAACATAAGAATGCAAAGCCAAAATCTAGCATACTGCCATACCCTATTTTACCATGATATGTTTTTTTCTTCTCAACTTCAAATCTCTGCTCTTTCCTTCTTGACTTATTTCTCTAGGTGGTATTAAAACAATCACAAACCTCATTGAGTTCATCAACTTTTTGCTTCCTTAACATTTGTAAGAAGTCTAGCAGAATTTGCATATTTCGCTCTGCTTCTTCCTGCTCCAATTTCCTCTTTCTCTCTGACAACATCGACAATAGAGCGTCCAGCTCCTTAATTGATACATCACAACCCTGTCTAAGCATAACAAGTGTCACATTTCAAGATTCCGTACAAAACTGATACTGAAAGTTAAAAATTTATGGGTGCATGACACTGACCAATAAAAAGAACAGGGAAAAATAGCAAATATAAAAATGTTATGTTTGATTCGAACGGTGACATCAATGCAGAGCTCCACAATAAGTGATCTTTCAAGAAGTTGCATCAATCAATTTCATAGTTAAATTGAGGGCAAAAATATAATAAAGAGAAAAGGGACACTTGGTTATTTGGTTAGGAAGTAAAACTGAAGGGTAAGGAATGCCTCCATATTGGGGTTTTAACTCCTCCAGAATTGAATAGGAAGCATCTCTCAAACAACCCACCTTTGACCCATGGAGAAGAATCAGAACCACAAATGTACCTATAACACAAGCAACTATTTTATATGTCTAAATTACCATATGAAATTTCAATTCACAACTTCAAGACCATAATAGACAATAACTCAACAAACATATAAATCAGATCACCCAAACTTTGATCAAATAGTTAAAGAGCAAACTTGAAAAGGAAGTCCTTCATAAAAAAATATTAAATTTAGTAGTGTCGAGAAGCAAACTTCAGCAACTAAATCCATAGTGACTTCACCTGGAGATTGAGAAAATAGACTCACCTGTTCCAATGAATGACGAAATTGTTCAACAGGAGATGCAGTTTTTGAAATCTGACGAGCAGATGTCTTCTTCAGTAGCTACAAATGTGGTACAGAGAAACCTTTAACAATAAGCTGCATGGTGAAGTAAATCATTTCAAGATGTAACCATCTCATAGTTATGCTAAATTTATATCACACAAAAACAGTTTATTAGATTGTAAAGAGATACTGATAGTTGAGAGTAAATAAAACTTAAACCTTACCTGTCAATATGTAAAAGAAGCTCGAATAAAAAAAGAGAGTGCATCATAAGATTATCAGATAGATTTAGATGCAGAAAAAATCAACAAAGAAGGAACAAAAAATCATCCTGATGGAAGCATATCGTCCTAATCTTTATCTTAAGATTTGTGCAAACCATCTCTGAAAGCCGATTTTTGTTGCGTCAGTTCCAAGGGAGCTAACAACACATTTACGATTTAACTGCTTACTTGCTTACCATGTTTTTTCCTTTCTTTTTTCTTTCTTGAAAGTAACAATTCTTAATTCCTACACAAAGAAAATGTCTCTTTACTAAATTAAAGTGACAACAGAAAAGCGGAAGACGTCCTTGCTAAATTTCTGATGTTAAGTTAATTTACTAGATATAATGGCAAGGACTACCCTAGACGTAAGCTTGCGAGATGGGTGAAACCTCCTTCTCATAAGTTCAAAGTAAAAATTAATTAGTACTTTAAAAGAGGTCCTAGACGCTCAAAACCATTTCTAAAAAAATAGAGTGAATGAAAATCATAAAGAATTTGAAACGGCTAATTGATGATCATACAATTCGAACAATTTTTAAATTTACCTCAAATATAGAACGAATAAACCCTTTAGTTGAAATAAATTCTGAATCGTCGACCTCGCATTGAAAAAAAGAGATTTATCCTCTCCTATAAAGAAATCAAAAGATTTTTCCATAAAATCTCGTCTAGCTATTAGAGAAAGCGTGTTGTATGATGAGAAGGCAAGATCACTCATATGTAACATAAACCAAGAGCTACTAGAATGGTGTCTCTGCTAGAAACCATTCTAATCTTTTTTTTTATAAGGTAAATAGTTTTATTAATAATGGAGAATTTCCTATAAACAAGTAGTGTACCAAAAGTAAAGAATCTACACCATAATATGATTCCCTACAAACGACACACAATCTTGTATATATAGTGGAATTTCATGGATGCACCAAAATGAAACTAGGAATGAGAGGATATTCTTCAAATGTCGTCCTCCGTCTCTTCGAAAGCTCTTCTATTTCTCCTCCTTGGTACCTAGATGAGTGCTACTGGTGCAAACCCACTCTTCATCTTCTCTTCCTTCTTCTAAATGTCAAACTAGAGAATGTTTGCTTCATTGTGCCCGACATCACCAATTGTAGCCCGAACAATCTCAAAATCTCACACCATAAGGAAGTTGCCACCTGACAATGCAGCAGGAGGTGGTCCACATCTTCACTCGAACATTTGCACATAAAGCACCAGCTGACATAAGTAATCCTTCTTTCTCTCAAATTCTTAACTGTTATGATTGTTTCTCTTCCTAGCCCAGTTAAAAAGCATACCTTTCTTGGAGCCTATTCCTCCTTCGCTAAGGGCTTATGATAAAATGACCTTATTGAGAACGATCCATCACTTCCCACCTATTATCTCCATAGGTCCTAACTAGTGTTTGATGTACTTTGCTCGTAAAGCAATTCAATCAAGCCTTGGAATTCAGCTACTTCCTAATCTTGAACGTTCCTTCATGCTATTATGTCCCAATGAACTCCCATCTCTTGTAGCCTCCGGATATGTTGTACTATCATCTCCATCTGGATCAAGATATTGTAAATGTTCGGGAATGTGAATCTCAATGTCTCTTTCCCGCAGTGCATGTGACTCCAAAAGCTGATTCTGCGCCATCCCCTACCCTGAAAGTTATTTATGATGCCGATAAAGTCTTCCCATTCTTTAAGAAAATTCCTCCAAAGTGTGTACCTAAATGAACATGCGATATTTCTAGTCCTCCATCCACCTTCTACAATTCCATATATTTCTACTATCAACTCCCTCTATAGTGCATGCTTCTCAATTCCGAATCTCCATAACTGTTTCCCTAATAATATCTTGTTGAAAACTCGGAGACTTTCACCCCAAGACCCCCTCATTTCTTTGGAGACGTAACATTCTCCCAGCTAACTAAGTGGAACTTCCTATCACGTCCATTTTTGGACATCTCCCGAATACGTGATCAAATCGATTTCAGTATGCCGATTTAATTTGAAGAGGAAGAGGGAAAAAATCTTTATAATCTTGAAGCAGAGGAGAGAAAGTGGCAAAGGATGTGGATTCACTTTTTTTATTTGATTCATACCTGCGGTTCACCCCTTGTCACTTAAAGGGTGAAGTCGCCTGAGCAAGTCTAATATAGACTTACCAACTGGTTTTTAATTCTCAGTTTTTATTTTTATACCTAATCACAAATATTTTCATCTATAACATTTCCTTACCAATTAATATATCTCTTTAAAATTACATTTATTTTCTAATGCCACCCTCTTCAAGTTAACAACCATGGGCACTGAGAAGCACGTCTTAACACCTCTTACTTGTACTAAGCGTTGTCTAAGAAGGCAGAGCATCAACCTAGGCCATACCTAGTTTCAGCTTATAGCCAATAACTACAATTGCCAGAGACTGAGTTCTCTTTTTCCTTTCTATTATGCTAGATAATTACCTTTGTACTTGATTATGTTTACAAAATATCAGTGCACGCACAGATTCTTAGCACAGAAGACATCAGTGGGTTTTGCATTCTAGAGCACAGTGAATGCATTTACTCATTTCTTTTCTGTTATTAGTCTCTTTTAAAGATCTTGAACTGTGTAAAATGAAGCTTAAATAGTCAAATACTCAATTTTCATGGTAGAATTCAATATTCAACACTACATAACACTGCAGCACAAATATCGAACAACTAGAAACGAAGATTATTTGTATTTCTGTCACATAAAAAAGCTGTAATTTATCTTTTCTTTAAACAACTGGGGCAATCCCTCAACTTTCATGGGCATCTACTTTATCTTTTCTTTGTATTTCTTTCACATAACAACATGGTTAAGATAATTATAACGAAAAACCAAGAAAACCAGCATGCCGAAGCTGTTTATATCCGTACTGATCTAACTTCACTATGTACTTCAACACTATATACTTCATCAGCTCAGCTATTTAGATTCCAGTTTCCAATAATCAATACCAACACTATACTAAACAACAACTACTACTTCTACTACTACGTTGGCTAAATGATAACCCTCTGTCCAAATTTATGTGATATTTTTTCCTTTTCAATATGTTCCAAGAAGAATGATATATTTCTATATTTCAAAAAATTTAACTTTAAACTTCCAATTTCACCCTTAATCAGATAATTTATAGCCATAGAAATGTCTAACGCTTGTTTTAGACTACAAGTTTCAAAGTGTATTTTTCTTTCCTAAACTTGGCGATCAGTCAAACAACGGCACATAAAATGGGGCGGAGGGAATTATTAATATCCATTCCACTTTGCTGGGCACAATTTCAACCAACAAATATAATTCCTCCAGTACAAAATCTCAATAAATATAATTGGTAGCAAAAAATTGACATTGACATTAAATTAAAACAAACCTTGTCTAGAAGGAAATTAGGGTAGAGTTGGCTAGTGGTAAGATAATGAGAACAACAAGGACAATCACTCTTATTGTGAAGGTGAGTGATTATACACATATAGCAAAAACTATGGCCACAGGAAGTTAAAAATGCATCCTTTATAATCTGCATACAAATTGGACACAACAATTCCCTATCCAATTCCCATTCTGTTTCATCTTCATCCCTTACACTACCACCACCCTCCTCTTTACCCCCCACCCTCACTGACCCCTTCACTGCTGGCACTACTCCCCCAATCGAACTTTCCACCATAGTAAATTGGATATTCTAAAATCAATTAACTACACCTCGATCTCAAACAAATTCGAATTTTTCAAGTAGAAATAAAGTAGAGGAACTGCAATTGGGGGGATTACTTTTTACTTAAGATTTGTATTTTTTGGGAGGATTTTGTGGTGGGAGGGGGAGCAGGCCCACAGAGAAAAGTATTTGGGGAGTCTGTGGAACGTAAGCTGCCAACGTTTTGTCCTATCTTCTTCTTTTCTCTTTGTGTTTTTAACCGTTTTGAGTTAACGTTTTATTCATTGTATTTTGCAAAAATAAACAAAAATATTAAAAGCAGTACTCATTCCATTTAACTTTTTATGATGAAGAGGAATCTTGAAATGAGTTTAATTCAAGTAACTTGATCGTGAATTCATAGTAGTTATTTGGATTGATTGATGAGGTCATGTTATTATTGTTATTTGCCTGCACAAAGTTTTAAAAAGAAAAAAGAAAGACTCTTAGCATATGCCCAAAATATTCTAAAATTTTGGATATCATGGTTATAAAGTACTAAAATAGTCTCTCTATCTTCACAACTTCACAAAATAGAATTAAAGTAAGCATACACATTATCCTCCACTTATTCACTTATAATAATATAATGATATTTTCTTATTGTTGTTGTTAGTTATAAAAGTATTTGATTCAAGATAAAATAACAAGTTTAAAGTTTTTTAAAAAAATCTAAAATGAAAGTATCGTTTCTCGGCTAAAAGAATGTTATGACATAAAAAACAACATAAGGAGTACTATATTAAACATACTAGTTTTAACAATATAGAAGTAATTTATATGACTTGTGTTGATGCGACCTCAGTAACGATTCTTGCCCAAGGTGGATCGGACATTATATATATTCATATAATCAAAATCCTAACTTTGCTTGGACTTGTGACATGTAGTTATTATTTCTGTAATAAGAAGTGAAACCAAAATCCCAATAACATTGCCCTTAACGCAAGCTTTATCTTTTTATAACACAATAATTGAGATTGAGGCATAATAGTTAAGATGAATTTCTATACATGTACTACCAACTTTATAAAAATATTAAGCTGCCTAGAAACAGAATTGTTACTTTTAAGTAGGATAACAGTTCAAAATGCACAAATAACAAATATAGATTGAATCAGATATACTTGGAACCCACAACATCCAAACTTTGGGGTTGTTTGGTCCACGGAGAAAGATAATCCCGGAGTAGAATTTGAGATTATACTTATTCCATGTTTGGTTATAGATATTAGCTAATACTGGAACAAATTTTATACCAAAATGGTGAAATTAGCTATCCCATATAAAAGGTAGGATAACTAATCCGCTGAAATATCCCAACTCTTGGGATATCCTTGTTTATTCCACCAATGTATCAAACAAGCCCATAATCCACTAATGCATGGGGCCTAGAAATGAACATGTAAAGATGTGTAGAATTACACATCTGCTTGCAACTAAATGAACACATGATGATGTGTAGAATAAAAGGACACCCCGGTACACAGCATCCCGCATTCACACATGATGTTCTCAGATCAGACATGGCATTGGTTAGACGATCACAAAGCACAATCCCATCTGCTTGAGAGAGAGCCGGCCTAGAAAAATGGACCATATCTGAACATATCCCAACAGGAAGCTAACTATCTATGTTGAATGGGAATTGCAGGTTTTTCAACAGTGGAACAAGGCTTCATCAGGCACGATTTCACTTTCATCTTCGGAAAAAGCCATAGTCGAATAGCACACAGTTCCTGGAGTACCAGAAAAGGATTTAATTAGTAATAGAGTTGAAAAAATAGTTCAAAATACAGGGAACAGAAAGCGATCTGATGGCAGTACAATACAAGAGAATAAGTCGGAAGAGTGTCTAAAGCTAACATGATAAAGAACATGCCTGAAAAATAAGTTCATCTTTCAGAATCAACAATTTACCTTTTAAACCTCTTCCATACTCTTTCTGAATTTCAAAATGGAGCATCCTATGGTATTTTCTTATTATCCTGATCTTAGTTTACTAGACTGTGACAAGAGACATGAACTTGCTTTTCTGGACAAATACATTCAGCAAACAAACAAAGGGCTACACAATTGCTCTGAGAAATTTTCTACTAATTTGTTGAGGTTGAAATTGAACACAGTAAAGTATGTATTTCTATGCAAAGGAAATGAGAAACAGTGCAGTCAGGCAAAAAAGCCAATCGGTCCAGATCATTAAGAGAGCAATCAGAAATTTTAAGCTAAAAGTTGTTTAGTTTACTAAAATCTTATTGCAACTTTTCAGAAAATTACAGACATAAAGAGCCAAGAGAGGAAGAGCAAAGGCCAAAGAAAATTAGCAATATCTCAAGAGCTCTAATTTTTTCTAAAATTTTTAAATCCTAACCTGCACCCGCACAAAGTTTTTTTTTTTTTTCGACCCGCACCGCGCCTGCATGTGTCTAAACCATCACCGCCCTGGCGCCCCGCATGTGTCTAAATCCGCACCGCCCCATTGCCATCCCTCCTATCTTGCAAATGCTGGGGTTGGGTTTTTACAAACTGAGAATCAGTCAGGAGCCATCCATTACTTTCAAACAGCTGGAGCCGAGTCATTCTGTCGTAAGACAACAGTTTGCTATTTTTCATCCACCGATGAATAAAATGCGCCGCAAACCACATTATACTAAGTCTTAAACAGCAAAATCATAGAGCTAGAACAATTATCTTTCCCCTAGACTTCTTTATGTTTCGTTTTGTTTTTTCAGTTTAACCACCCGGTATCCGAAATCAACTGATTCGACTAATCCAGATTTGCGCTGCATATGGCCCACTAAAGGTGGAAGCGCTCTCCATGCCAGGAGTTTCTCTATTCCCGGCTCAAATCCGAGGCCATACATCACATCACACTCCTTGGTGATGATTTTTTTATGTTTCCATCACTATTTTGGTTCTTCATCTTGTAATTTCTCAAGTTCAATTCACAATAATTTGTTTCTTGGCAACAATATTTGTTGCCTCTCTAAATTCCAAGTTTTGATGGGAAGGTGATCACTCTATTTACTAAGTTATAAGTATAAAGGACCAGTCTGTCTACTCATAATAGTAAAATGCAGAAAACAAGTTATAATGTCCAATGCTGCTACTCACTTGGCTGCTAAATCTTTGAGATACCTCCACTCCTTCTATCTTCTTTCTCGGCAGCATATATCCTCCTCATTTATCACTAATGCTGCCAACTCGTGCTTATCCGATTATCCTGCACGAAGTCATAATACTACAAGAATATTTCTCAAAAAAGAGAAGCAATCAATCAGTCAACTACACCTCCATCCAAGTTAGTTCACACCCATCAGACCCATTTTGTCAGGAAAAACGCACAAAGGAAAAAAAAATTCAGTATCATAAGGAAGAACTTCCATTACCAATTCATTTTTCCATTATACAAAAAAAAAGGTAAATCACATAAATTAAGAAAAGAATAACTCAACATCAGATTCAACGTTCTATAGCAAAGATACATTCTTTTCTGATTTAGATAACATCATGACTCGGTAAACTAATCTATGCATAATTTAAAACCCATTTGGTTATTAATTTCTCAACATCCACCAAATGGATACATTTTTCCCAAGTAACATAGAAAAAAGAGTTATTTTTCTTTTCATCATAATCAAATTAATTAACATAACTAAAAATACAAGGGGTAACGTGAACATCATCCAGGTCATCAGACGGAGGGAGCAAGTTCAAATCAAACGGCAGAGGCTGTTTACAAAACGACGACGAATTGCCGTCCATATTATCATCCACCACAGTCGATGACGAATCGCAACCACTGTAACACTCCACCACCGGCGGAGTAATCCGGCGAGTAATTTCAACCCGCGAGTGCAAATCACGCGCCCCGCTGGATGACTCCACCGTACTGCTCAGGCTACTGGAAGCCGGCCGGTTAAAATTTTCAAACTGGTTCTGCCCATACGGAGGCAAAAATGAAAAATTGGTTTTCGCTTTCGGTCCATGGAAGGCGCGTGCGGCATCGTCGTAAGCACGTGCAGCATCCTCCGCCGTGTCAAAGGTGCCAAGCCAGACCCGAGCTTTTTTTATCGGGTCTCTTATCTCGGCTGCGAACCGGCCCCACTGCCGTTTACGGACGCCCCGATAACGATTCGGGTCGGTTTTAGGGTGTCGAAAAGCTGCGGATGTTGATCTATTAGCCTCCGAATTTTTCCGACGGGGCATGGTAAGGTGGGTGGGGGAGAAGAAGTTGAGAAGCGAAAATGCGCATTGTGACTTCTTTTTGGTTTTTATTTTAGTTTTCTGAAAATGCTTTATTTGGTGGATACAGAATTATGAAGGATGATGCCAATAGTTTTTTTAGGTTTCTTGTATCTTTGTTATCAATTTTGAGGCTGATTAATCTGAATTCCCTAAATAAATTTAATTTAGGGCTGAAATGTTTCCTATCAAAGCCAAGATTCTATTTTCATGTTTAGTATTCGAAATATGATGCCAATAGTTTTTTGCGACTTCTTATGTGTTCCTTGTTAATTTTGAGGATCGATTAATATGGATTTATTAAAAAATTTAATTTAGGGCTAAAATGCTTTCTATCAAAGCCAAGACTCTATTTTCATTTTTAGGTCAAATATGATTAAAAATAAAAGAATACTCGATCTCATGATGTCAATAGAATTACCAACCAATCAACTATTCTCTATCACCAACTATTTGGGTTCAATTTATAATACTAATTATACTTCGGCCTCATTTATTTTTTATTTAAGATTAAGACGTCTGGATCTGAATATATATCTGAATGTGAAGATGTGTATGAATATTAAGACATCTGAATCTGAATACATATATGAATATTAAGATGTGTATTAAGATTTGAATATTAAATGATTAGCACTGTTTGTTTTTTTAACATCTAAATATATAAAAAAATCTTTATTTAAAAGTTAATAAACTTAAAACTCAAATAAAATATTAATTAATCTAATGTTGGTGTTTCTAGCTAGTAGCTAGTGGTGATCGTTAACGATAGCGATTATGCTTGAGGATAGTAATGGTAGATGGTGATAGTTTATAATGGCGGGTGATGGTGGTAGTTGTGGTTGTGATTGATGAAGGTGATGGTGGATGGTGGTAGTTTATAAATAGTGGGCAGTGTCGACTATGGTTATTGATGGTGATAGGGTGGTTGGTTGTTGATATTCGACTTAAAGTATTGTTACGACCCGGAATTCCCACCTTGGGAATCGTGATGGCGCCTAACATTTTACTTGCCAAGCAAGCCAACGTTAGATAAATTTTTAGCCATTTTTAAACAAATCAAATTTAAATGATGCTAATTACTAAAATAACTGAGATGGAACTCAAATAAAATGCGCAAAACCATAACAACTGAAAGATGTAAATACATCCCCGAATCTGGTGTCACAAGTTCACGAGCTACTAAAATAGTACAGATAAAGGTCTGAATAAAAATAAAGTTGTATGAATGAAAATACACAGCTAAAATAAGGCAGAAGGAGACTTGAGGGCTGCGAACGCCGAGCAGTTGTACCTCAAGTCTCCGTACTGATAGCTAACCCGAGCAATCTACGAACCAATACTGGGACGGACTCCAAAATCTGCACAAGAAGTGTAGAGTATAGTATGAATACAACCGACCCCATGTACTGTAAGTGCCGAGCCTAACCTCGACGAAGTAGTGCCGAAGCTAAGGCGGGTCACTTACAGTAACTTGTACGCAGTATAAAATATTGACAGGAAAGGAAAATACGGAAACAAAATAAGGTAGTTAACTCATAGAAATAACTCAATCATCGAGGAAAAAACAGTAAATATCAGAGATATCAATCCTTAGAGTCTCATACGAAAGCACCGAGGTCAACACAATATAATAAGGAATAGAAAACACATAAACTGTTGCGCCGCGCAATCCCGATCCCACCGTACGATATTATCCTCCCTTATTCCACCATATAAATATCGATAAAAATAAGTAAATGTATATTGCGGCGCACAACCCAATCCCACCATATAATCATAATCAATATCATAATTCATCCTTATTTCACCATATCAATCCACCCTTATTTCACCTGTTGCGGCGCGCAACCCGATCCCACCGTATCAATATAAATTCACCCTTGTTTTGCCATAGCAATCCACCCTTATTTCACCTGTTGCGGCGCGCAACCCGATCCCACCGTATCAATATAAATTCACCCTTATTTTGCCATATCAATCCACCCTTATTTCACCTGTTGCGGTACGCAACCCGATCCCATCGTAAAATATGAATAAATCAATAAATGCAATTAATTTAACAACTCGAATCATAAGAATTCTCTACGTTTAATGGATTTGAAGCAGAACCAGAAAGGAAATCTCGTCTCAAATTAAGAATTCACTATAATTAATAATAGGCAGTAAGACAAGCGAGATAAATGACAACTAAAGGGTGCAAGTAAGTCAATTAAGGCAAGTAGCGGTAATTAATCATGAAAGCATGAAAGAATCTAACATTTTTAACACGAGAATAATAAATGACGAGTAGCAAATAAAGGCATGAGAAGAATTTAAAGCATATAACAGTTAAGACATGGAATGAAATAATTAATGTAATATGGAAAAAGCAGGGAAACAAGTAATTTGACGACGTATATGCACTCGTCATCTAAACAGGGCACCCTTCTGGGTCAATCTGGTCAATGGGGCTACTATGGATGAAAATCCCTCCACAAACTGGCTGTAATAACCCGCCAAACTAAGGAAACTCCGGATCCACCTTTATGCCCTCTGTCGATGCAACGTGCCCCCAAAAGGCGACTGAGTCTAACCAAAACTCACACTTTGAAAACTTGGCATATAACTGGCTATATCTCATAGTCTGAAGTACAATCCGAAGATGCTTCTCATGATCCTCTCGACTGCTAGTGTAAATCAAGATATCATCAATTAATACAATAACAAAAGAATCTAAGTAGGGTTTGAACACCCGGTTCATCAAATCCATAAATGCTGTTGGGGCATTATTCAACCCAAATGACATCACTAGGAACTCATAATGCACATACCAAGTCCGAAAAGCCGTCTTAGGGACATCGGATGCCCTAATCCTCAACGGATGGTAGCTAGACCTCAAATCAATCTTCAAAAACACTTTGGCACCTTGAAACGGATCAAATAAGTCATCAATCCTCGGCAACGGATACTTGTTCTTGATAGTGACTTTGTTCAACTGCCGATAGTCTATACATATTAGCATCGACCCATCCTTCTTCTTCACGAACAATACAGGTGCACCCCAGTGCGAGACACTAGGTCTAATGAAACCCTTATCAAGCAAATCTTGCAAATACTCATTCAACTCCGGTGGGGCCATACGGTATGATAGAATAGAAATGGGCTGAGTGCCCGGAGCCAAATCAATACAGAAATCAATATCCCTGTCGGGTGGCATCCCCTGCAGATCTGCAGGAAACACCTCTGGAAACTCACAAAAAACTGGCACTGAATCCATGGAAGGGACCTCCGTACTAGAATCATGGACATATGCCAAATAAGCTAGACATCCCTTCTCGACCATACGTCAAGCCTTCACATAAGAAATAACTCTACTGGTAGAGTGGTCAGGAGTCCCTCTCCAGTCTAATCGAGGCAACCCCAGCATGGCTAAGGTCAATGTCTTGGCGTGACAGTCCAATATAGCATAATAAGGTGACAACCAATCCATACCCAAGATAACATCAAAATCTACCATATAAAGAAGTAGTAGATCTACACTAGTCTCAAGACTCCCAATTGTGACCACACACGAGCGATAGACAAGATCTACAATAATAGAATCTCCCACAGGTGTGGACACATACACAAGAGCACTCAAAGAATCACGGGGCACAACCAGATATGCAGCAAAATAGGATAACACATAGGAGTAAATAGATTCCGGATCAAATAAAGCTGACACATCTCTATGGCAAACTGGAACAATACCTGTGATAACGGTGTCAGATGACTCGGCCTCATTCCTAGCTGGGAAAGCATAACATCAGGGCTGGGCCCAACCACTCTAAACTACATCTCCGGGACGACCTCTAGCTGGCTGGCCTCCACCTCTAGTGGTCTTACCTCCACCTCTAACGGCCTGACCCCCACCTCTGGCTGCCTGACCCCTGCCCCTGGATGGCTGAGAAGGCGGTGGAGCAACCGGTGCCGAAACCATGGCACGAGAACTCTACTCTGGCATGCTGCCCAATAATCTCGGACATGACCTCCTGATGTGCCCCATACCACCACACATAAAACACCCATCCTGCTATTGTGGCTACTGAAACTGAAGTTGACCCGAATGGGCTGGATAACCATGGTGATAGCTTTGAATTGGAGGCGCATTGATAGGAGCTGATGGTGCACTGTAGGTTGGCTGCCCAAAATAAGGCACATAAGAACCACGAATCCCTAAAGCACTATGAGATGCGTGAAGTGCTGAATGAAATGGCCTGGGATAGACATACTCCCCTGCTGAAGATGCTCAAACTGCCTGCGGTACTCTTCTCTCAGGGTGACATGGATGAACTTCTCTAGAAATAGCTGTGAGAACTGATCCCAAGTAAGTGCAGGCGACCCAGCTGGTCTGGTCAATATAAAATCTCTCCACCACCTCTTGGCAGAACCCGTCATCTGAAACACAACAAAATCGACCCCATTGGTCTCAATTATACCCATGTTCCGCAGCACCTCATGGCAACGATCAAGATAGTCATGTGGGTCCTTAGAAGATGTACCACTAAAGTGAACTGGAAAGATCTTAGTAAACTTGTCCAATCTCAATAAAGCCTCAGAAGACATGGCGGGCCTATCACCGACATGTGCCGCAACAACCGGCTGAACTACCCCAACTGGCGAGGCTGCTGGAGTCTGATACTGGGGAGCTATATTCTCCGGGGTATGAGTAGCACGAGTGTGTGCTCCTCCCCCAGTGTGAGAGACGGTTGGTTCCACCGGGAATGTACCGGCCTGGGCCACACTCACCATAAGTCCCATCGAATAGACTAGAGTGTCTTGAAGCACTAGAGAGACTATGAACCCCTCCGAGACCTGGACTGGTCCAACATGTACAGTCTGAGTTGGAACCACCTCATCAAAATCTACCTGAGGCTCCACTATTGGTGCTGCTGCTCGAGCTCTAGGTTGTGCTCTACCTCTGGCGCGACCTCGGCCTCGACCTCTACCCCTAGTAGAAGCTGCCACTGGGGCTCTAGATGTTGTTCAGCTGTAGATGCATTACGTATTCTCGCCATATGCGAGAGAACAAGAATAGAAGAGTTAAATCATCAATTATAGAAAAAATTGCACGACAGAGAAGAATAAAAATGAAATTGTTCCTAAACCTAATAGCCTCTAGAAGATAAGTACACACGTCTCTGTACCGATCCTCCA